GGTGACCTGTCCATCACATCACACAACAAATATATAATTACCTAAACTAATTTGGCGGGCCTGAGAGCGATATTCAGTCACAGCCACACCCAGACATACCTCATTGCCCACGCTAATAAATACATTTACACTGCAAAATGGAGATATACCGCGTGTGGTTGGTTATATGTATTCATACGCATTTATCAATTTTAAGTACCTAATATTATTATTATTATTTATGTGTTTGACAAGATATTTTCTAACAATAAGAAATTTGCATACATATGTGTTTTTGAGAGAAAGTGGCAGGGCCCCATGCGTACTCTTTAGCATATCTCCATTTGTGTACCATACCTCCTGAAAAATATTATTGATGGGAAAATGTTCACGAAAAACCCATTAACCTTTACTTTAACAAATCCTTTGCGTTAACAAATCGTTACAGTAATGTTCAGAAACTGGAAGAACTAATTATTAATTTTCAGAAAAATAACAGTTATAACAAATGTCAGCAAAAATATGTAGTAATTTAGTAAGTTGGTCTAATATAGTACATGAATATTTAGTTTAAAATAAATAAATAAATAAGTTAATTTAAATAATTATAAATAAGTTAGTTTAACAAATTAGTAACAAATTGACAAATTAACAAGTTAACAGTATAATAAATTAACAAATCAGTAAGTTAGTGGTTAAATATTTTCAAAAGTTATTAAGTAACAGTTAAATAAGTGAGAAGGTTGAGATTCAGGAGGATAAAATATGTTTTATTCTCCTGTGCTTCCAAGATCTGAGACAATCATATGTGCCGATTGAAGCACATACGGAGTTTTTGCTGTAGGCTTTTTGAGAAAAAAAATTTTGGGTCCTGAATTTTAATTCCTCCTTAATCCATGGCATTTGAACTAAAGCATGCAGGTCTGTGAGCCTTGTGTAACGTGGGGACGAGGTGGCTAGTCATAAAAACTTGTTTTGTATTATTTGTAGCCTCTTAATGTTAGTCATGCTTGTGTAGCTCCAAGCAGGGCAAGCGTACAATATTATTGGTTTCACTATCACTTTGTACATAGCTACGCTCAAAGATGATTCTCGACTTAAAAGGGGGAAAAGAGTCTTAATCATTATTTTGCCTCTCTTTATCAACGAGTTAACATGTTCAGTGAAATTCAGGTCCAGTGTCACCCCTAGGTATTTTACCTGTGGGGTCCACGGTATGTTTACCCCGTCAAGCATGATTTGTTTATCGAGAGAGGGTCGCCGCCTAGTAAAGAATATCGATTCTGTTTTTACAGTGTTTAAGATTAACTTCCATCTGTGGCAGAATCGTACTATTTTTTGTAAAGCCAAGTTCAAATTGTTTACTATAGCAGTCTGTCTCCAGGAGGAACAATATATTACGATGGCGTCAGCGTAAAGGGCCAACTTGCAGTTTGATTTATCTAGTGTAGGGAGGGCATTTAAGAATATAGAAAAAAGTGTTGGCCCTAGTATAGACCCTTGAGGGACCCCAGCAACAACTTGAAAGGAGAAGACGTAGCGTTGTTAAGAACATCGCGAAAGGATCTTTCACTTAGATAGGACATTGTGATCCTAACAACCTGGGAAACTATATTCTAACAGCCTGTAGATTCCGTTATGCCAGACAGTGTCAAACGCCTTCTCAAGGTCTAGTAATACCATACCTGTGTGTTTTTTGGAATTAAATCCTGCCGTTACTTCATCAACTACTTTCGCTAGAAGGGAAGTTGTGTCTCAACCAGGTCGAAAGCCGAATTGTTCTTCTATTAGAATATGTTTGGTTGTTATGTGGCTTTGTATTCTTTTTAATATAATTCTTTCAAATATTTTGCATAGAGAGCTAAGAAGGCTGATTGGACGATAGCTAGTTGGTTCCTTAGGCGGTTTTCCCGGTTTTTTAATAAAAATTAATTTGGACGTTTTCCAATATGCTGGATAATATCCAAGGAGAAGCATGACGTTGAACAGGTAAGAAAGTAACACTAGACCTTTTTTGGGCATCTTTTTCAGCATAACGTTAGCGATTCTGTCAAAGCCGGGAGATTTTTTGTTTTTCCTAGAGGAAATTACTTTACGAATTTCAGACGGAGACACTAACTGGCAGTCACGTAAATATAAGTACCTAATAAGATTATGTTTGAACTCACGGTTATGCTTAAGATCTATTGATTGGATGGTAGGTCACACCGTTCTCGGTACTCTCCTAACTTATTACATTCCTCTAATAGGTGTCTCACTGTTACCGGGTTTCGATAGAGTGGGGGGTTTTTTGACTTTTACCCACTAAGAGGTGACCGTACGTGAGATGGGTGTGACCTATTCGCAACCTTGTTAATATTATTTTGTTACGTTTTTCCAAATTCTACACAAGCCATGGCCTCACCGTATTTTTATGTATTTTTGGTTTTTCATTACATTCGTTCCAGCGAACCTGCCATTTACAATAAATCGAATTTTTCAATTTTGTTTTTAGATCCATGGGGTTAATGGGGGATTCGTGGTCATGAGGGGTCGCAGCCGCTTTCTTAGCTTGTCTGCTTCCTTATTTCCCCCAAGTCCGACATGGCCTGGACCCAGGCGAACACAAGTACACAATCTCGATTATTCAGTTCGCCAACCTGTTGAAATACCTTTTGTATTAGTGGGTCCGTGGAGAACTTTTCTTTGACGCTGAGATTGCGCTTAGGGAGACTGTACATATTACATTTTTTTGGACTGTGTCGTTTTGATATCTCACCCAGCGCAATTGATATGGCGGTCAATTCAGCTGTGTATATACTGTTATTAAGTTCTATTTACTACATTGATTTAAATAATTGAGCCAATCATCCACTCTTTAAACTAATATAGCTTTTCAATTTATTATTAAATATCTGTAGGAAAAGGACATTATATAACCTTAGTATTGATTCTTTATATATGTAAGTAAAGTGTGTGTTCGTTATATTTTAATAGAACAAAATGTCAATTTCACAAAGGCTTCTCGTTTAAACAGCAAAAGTTAATCGATCGTTAATAAAATCGCTGGTGTGATATTTCACTGTAGGTGGCTTTGTAACAAGCTTGGGTGACATCAATTACCGTCAATTGACTGCGTTCATGTAACTTGACAACGCAGTAAGTTTCTACACTTCCTTTGAAGCATCCTGGTCTTGATAGATGTTGAAGTATAAAATGAAAATATGATGGTGTCCAAACGTTTCTATTTTAATTCATAACTTCTTTTTAATGTCATTTATAATTATTCAATACACTAGTTTTCGTGGTCCGCTTGACCAATTAATATCTTTCAATTAATTAAGAGTTTTAGTGGAGATAAAAAATTCAATGTCACGAGCNATTCTGATCCGACAATTTTTCAATTCGATCAATTTACTTCAGAATATATTAGGTAACATTTTTATTAAAAAAGAAATTTAAATGAAATCTTTTTGGAGGATCTACGGAAGAGGTCAAACACAGAGAACACTTCCTTTCGGTTTTCGCCGAGCTTTCGACAGTTTTTGTACTTTCATCTTCAGGGCCTGTTTTATTATCATATAAAAAAAACAATTAAAAGATGAAAAACAAATTGCACAAAAACTGAAATATCTTACTTAAACCTTAATGGGGAAATAAACGACATGGTGTTTTGGGCACAGAAGTACATTACGTTTTTTGGGGCTCAGCGTCTAAACATTATTTAAATTGAATAAATTAATAATTAAAAATTACAACTAAAAGTACAATAAGAATTAAAAATTAAAAACGTGGTCGAGAAATGGTTACCTTATAAAAGTCTAAAAACTAGTAAAATCTTCCTTTCTTTGTTTTCAGCTACATGTGATCATAGTGCGTTTCTTAGGCTTCGTTCACACCACTAGAGATGTGGAAGCAATTTTTTCTTTTCTTAATCTTAAACTGCTCAGGTGCTTTCCTTTTATGTAGCGCTATATTTTCTAAGTTTCTGGCATCCGAGTTTGATGTGTAATCTCAAGAGCTCAAGATCATCCTTACATAAACCTAATTCCTCTACCTCGGATCATACGTGATTGACCTGTTCTTTTAAGTCCACCAGGAACATGGTTGACCTTTATGTCCATACGACCCATTCTCTCACAATTTTGCACATGATGCTGCTATTCTATCGCTCTTTACAGGATTTTCTTATCCACTTCAATCTTTCGTTAAATATGTGGGGAATAAACATAAATGTAAAAGCCAACGTATGAGTTTTACCCTCGGCTGTGGAATAACGACTGATAGAACACATGACTTTTCTATAGTTAACCAAGAAAACTACTTTTAACTATACATTAACATATGTCTAACTTGTACATACTAGATGATTAAGCAAGAATAGCCCTGACGTGAAAAAACCCTTTTCCGACTTTTATACATTTATTGAAGAGAAATGATCGACCACTTGAACATTAATTTGATGGATGTATTATTAGTAGGTCAAGGAAAAACATGAAAACAAAACTCCAAATATAACAAGCTTTCAACCCGGGCTTCTAGGTCATGATCAGGGCTATAATTTTTTTGTAGCTAACAGACATAATTTTGCAAAATTTTGAAAGCTGAGAAAATGTATTGGGTTAAAAAAATTTTGAAGTAAAACAAACCAGTTACTTTTATACAAACGATAAAACATTCGACTGATAAAATAGATAATTAAACGCATTTAGATTCAGCATAGAACATGGTTCAACCATTATACTATTCAAACATTCTACTATCTCATCAAGATAATCCCTTGCAAAAGTACTCCAAAAAAATAGTAAATGCTTCTACGTATTAAATCGCACAATCCATCATGACTTTCAAATATTTTTCAAAATACAGGTTCGTAAAATTCCACAAATCTTTTTCATTACCCCCAATTTCTTAGTTCTAAGCTTAATAACTATCAACCCCAATTTTGATGCGTGGTTAAAGTGGGATTAAATTGGCAAGGGATATGCCAACTAAACCAGAAGTTACAACTAAAATTATTGTTGTGAAATGTTTGTTTTAAGGGACGAAACGGAAAAGGAGTTATTTATATATTTGCCTCTGGTAACGGCAAATTTAAAGGCGACAATTGTGGAGCCGACGGCTACATCAATTCTATTTACACGGTCCCTATTGCCAGCGCGTCACAGAAGGGCAGGACCGTCCATTACGGTGAACGATGTGCAGCAATAATGGCAACTGCGTATTCTTCAGGAGGAACCAGAGATGAACAAGTGGTACGTTAGACATTGTCTAAAATACAATGAGTGAATTTGAAAATTGGAAAATTTATTTCAGGCCACGACAAACTTGAACAACACATGCACCTTGAGACATACAGGCACTTCGGCTGCTGCTCCATTGGCCGCGGGAATCGCCGCTTTGGTACTTGAAGCTAAGTATGCAGTAATCAGATATACCTAGTGTTAATATTGTCAGCAATAAACGTTTCTTTTATTAAAGTGTATTCAAGTTATGAATGGGTGAAAAGACAAATTGTATAAAAAGATCTCGCTTCAGTATATAATCACGTATTTGTGAGAATTTTTTTCAAATAAAGTGACAGTTCTCTTTCATTGTGTAGCTGTTCAATTAATTATATATTATAATTATATATTACAATTACAAAGAAGGCTTGAGCAGTTTGATAGAAGATATACCGAATAGTTTTCATAATGGGAAATCGTCCGATTTCCTCCTAACTTGAAATGCCGTCGTTACCTATCATTTTGTTTTGCCTATTCTCGCTGGGTTGGTCTGCCAAACCGTTTCTTCTTTTAGACATCTTCACTCTGTCTCGATAAAAAAATTAATACATCATTCTCAAAGTGGAGTTTTGACAGATTTCTAGCATTTTTGTTTTATACGCTTTTTTTTAGACGTTTTACCTCGCTCTATAAAGACGACTGGATCTCGTTAGAAAATACATTAACGATTATTGAGCCCAAAATATAGTCAATGAAAGTAAAAAATATGATTTATTGGAATCATGTGTATTTTCGCTTACTAATTAATTCACTAGTTTTCGTGGTCCGCTTGACCAATTAATATCTTTCAATTAATTAAATTCATTATTTGTCACCGAGAATCAAATAGATTACACGACATTTGAAAAATGGCAAAAAACAGGGAAAATTCAAAAGGTGGGGTTGAGATGAGAAGTTAGTATCCGAGTCGATCGAGGTCACGATAGCTCAAGTGGTAGAGCACTGCGTATCTTGCCGAAGATCGTGGGTTCGAATCCCTCTCGTGATACTGACTTTTTTATCTCAACTACAAACCTTAATTAATTGAATGTTAATAATTAATTATTCGATATATCCGTGTGGTCTTTGGTGTGAAAAAACTGAAATTTATTATGTTTATTCTGGGTTGGTTGCATATATATATGTACGAATGTATATACGACCTGGACCATGGTATGACACAAATACACAGAATTCCCCATCATAGAACGAATTTAAAAAGACAAAAGGAGAAATGAATAAACTCTAAGAAAGTTAGACACAGTACGCTTATGCTAAAACTTCCCTCACCAAGATTAGCAAACTGATAGAAACTTAGAGAAGGCTAGACACTGAGAAGTGACCGAAATATTTACCGGCCATTGGCATCTGTGAAAAAATGTAGAAAGTATGAGCATATTCAATGATGAAAACATTTTTTGGTTATGTATAAGGAGGAAGAAACAACCACCCATATCCTCTTTGAATGTGAAGAAATCGTTAGATAAAGATATAACGTGAGATATAAGGAAAATCCAGGAGAAGGAATTTTTCAACCTCAGTCAATGACTTAGTACTCCTTAAAAGAAGGATTGAATTGACAGACTGATCTAAGGAGCGAGGAAAGAACAGTAAGCAAGAAAGCTGTACTTGGAGAACTTCCCAACTTCCTAGTCTCCTTTCATCACCATCCACATGAAACAAAATAATTTCTGAGACGATTAAACGTTGATACGATACTACTGTATTCTTGTTTTAATATAAACCAATTTTTAAAGATAAAAAATAATATACACATGTAAAATATTATAAATATATTTTAATTATGTAGAGTAAAGTTTTATTGCTTTACCGTTAATATACTTCCATTTTTTCATGATACTTTTTGTGTACGATTTTTTTATTACTGGTAATGTTATTTGGAACGTGTTCAGAAATTTGAAGAAAGCTAACAACCTAATGGTATTAAAGCAAAGGAAAATGCTAGTCACTCATTGGGACGTTGACTTTGTATATTGTGAGGATGATTAGGTGAGCCAGATGTCGTTTACCGAGTTTAACGAAAAATTGGCTCTCTAAAAAGAAACCATTATCATTCGAGAGAACGACGAGAACAAGATGATATTGGGTATTTACTTAAACGTTCATATTGGTGGTTGAGTCTTTATATGAGTGCACAATATTCTTAAACGTAAAAAATAACCAGTCTTTAAATTTCAGATGGTAATTATTGATCCTTTATTATAAATTCACTATTTTTCGTGGTCCCTTGACCAATTAATATTTCAATTAATTAAGGTTTTTAGTTGAGATAAAACAGTGAAAAGAGAAAAATGGCAAAACGGATGGAAAATTGAAAAAGGTGGAGTTGAGATGGGAAGTTTTTACTGTCCGAGTGGATCGAGGTCACGATAGCTCAAGTGGTACAGCAGCGGCGTATCTAGCCGAAGATCGTGGATTCGAATCCCACTCGTGGCACTTTGTTATAAAATTACTCTCTGGTTCGTTAATGCCCACAACAAAACCTTACCGTCGAATTACAAGTACCGATGAGAATAAATATAAATAAACAAAAACTGATGATAAAAATTGAAGTATTACGAGAATAAATGAAGAATTCTGTGGGGCATATGCAGTAGTGATATTATGGATGTTGTTTCGGTTTTAGAGATAGAAAATAAGTCAAAAAGCATCACATTTATATTGATTTTTCCATTTAATGTATATATAAATTGTATTATTAAGCCAAAACATTCCTTTTTATAATTATTGATCAATAGATTCTTTGGAATGCTGTTATTATCAATGAATTAGTTTCGTGTATATAATTACATAACACTCTTCATGGGGACAAATTTTTCATTTTTATTTCATCTTTTAGATTAACGATGTTTTCTTATATTTTGACCTCAACAGTTAATCTTATGATTCTTCCATCTTGAAGGTGGGTCAATAGGTCAATATATAATGGGATAATGACTTATTATCCAACCTTCAAGAAGGAAGAATCATAAGATTGCATCTTTTCTTCAATTTTAATCTTTTTTTCAATGGTAATCCGATAGAGTTAGTAAAGATTTGAGCGACGAACAAAGAATATAATAAGGGCCTTGAAACTTCGCCCTGGAACACCTCTTCAGATAATTCCTTGAAAGGAAAGGAACTCCGAATACAAAAAGAACAGCACTATCACACAAACACCCTGTGATCTGCAGTACGTTTTGACTAATTCTAAAATTGTAAAGTTTGTACTATAGCATAGTGTGGTTGACACTATAAAATGCTCTCTTTAATCAATAAAGACTGCATAGAATTAAATAACAATTGACTATTCTTGATATTATATATTATCAGGACATTTTGTAGGAAAATGGATTTCTTGAAAAAGTGGGTTGGTAGCAAATTCGCTACATTTCATGGAAGTGTTTTTAGTTTTACTTTGCTTACTACGATGGCACATAATTGATTTTACGTCATTATGACAAAATGTTTTTGAACATATTTATTGCATAAAAATCCAATCTTTTTTTTCCAAAGTTGTCTTGTTTTTCTCTCACATTTGTCTAGATTTTAATGAAATTACCTAAGACCCATGACGCTACTACAGATAGTTTTTATGCTTTTCGCACATACTCTACAAAATAAATAAAATCTTTAAAAAGAAAATTAACGATTACACTTTCGATAGGTGACGTCTGGTTAGACGTTTATCGCAGCTTGCTGCCGAACATTTACCACAACACTACGTCTTAGGTCCGACTCTACAGGTTGACTCTCACTGGGAGAGGAAAATCAATTTACACACAGTTTATTATAACTCAATTAACAAACCACAAATCACATTGAATTACCGTAATTGAAACAACTGGTCCCTGTCTGCCAGGCTCTTCTACAAAACCTGAATATTTGAGCATTAGGTAAACTATTAGCAAATTTTCCCAGACTACTCGTTATGTAAAATTCACTAGTTTTCGTGGTCCGCTTGACACCACAAATATCTTTCAATTAATTAAGATTTTTAGTTGAGATAAAAATGTCAATGTCACGAGCGGGATTCGAGCCCACGACCATCGGCAAGATACGCCCCTCCTCTACCACTTGAACTATCGTGACCTCGATCCACTCGGACACTAACTTCCCATCTCAACCCCACCTTTTTGAATTTTGAGGTGATGGGAAGTTAGTATCCGACTGGATCGAGGCCACGATAGCTCAAGCGGTAGAGCAGCGGCGAATTTAGCCAAAGGTCTTGGGTTCGAATCCTGCTCGTGACAGTAACTTTGTTATCTCAACTAAAAACCTTATGTAAAATAATAACAAAAAAGATTACATGCACAAATTCTTATAAAAAATAAACAAGAATACAGGTGAAAGATAGGCAGCAGAAAAAAGCCAAAGTGTTCCAGTTTTTGCAATTTCAAACAAACCACATGAAAATATCAGAGGTAACGTACTGGAAGTGACGACCACTTCACAAGACGAAAAATAAACTGGTCGGGTTGGATGAAATAGAGCAACAAATTAAAAACTTGCCTGCTAAAAAAATTCCAGGATAACACCTTATTCTTACAGATATTTGTTTTAATAAATTTACATCAAATAAGTTCGTTTACCGACCTTTTCATTGCTACAAACTGATTGTAAACTGTTTGCAGTATGTGAAAATTTGAATTGAGTATTCGGAAATCGTGAGATGCGGTCTGGTGTTACGTAGGTTTTACTTAAAACATTTTCTTTTTCGTGCCAACGTTTCGATCTTTATTGAGATCATCAACAGGGCCTGAAAAAAAAAATTTTATATTCAATCAAAGTATTTCTACTCACTCAAAGTGTTTTACGCGGAAAACAAACACTTTGAGTGAGAAGAAAAACTTTGATTTTATTTTTAAAAAAATATGTTTTTGCATTGTATAAATTCACTTTTTTCCACAAGCTACATGTATTTGTTAAATTTCAACAATGTTTGTACATCCCAGGCCCTGTTGGTGATTTCGATAAAGATCGAAACGTTGGCACGAAAAAGAAAATGTTTTTCTGAAACCTACATCACACCATACCGCATCTCACGATTTCCGAATAATCATCGACTAACGATCACTAATCACCAAAAATTTGATTTGATGTTATTATGGTACTAGAACATAGGACTACTGCTACGACTTAGACAAAGGGTGTGGAAGTTGTTCTACCTTACCATCATCCAAATCAAAAGTTTTCAGAAAAATCCTCAAAGCTACGTCACTAACCACAAAGATTTCAACGTTCCATTTGCCTGCTTGCATCAGGCTGAATTGCGCTTTAATGATCTACATCCAGAGCGTCCTAGACGATATTATTTGTGAAAAATTGTTACGATGTTTTGAAATTATGATCATACAATCAATTTAATATCAATTAAAGTGATAAATAAATAAATTGGTTTTCCGTTCAAGAAGTTAGAGAAAATTTCGTTTTGTTAAATACCATTGCCACTATTGAAATTATCGTTAAAAACTTTTAAAAAATGTACATGTTTAAGCATTTTTCCAATTGACGTAGTTAAATTAGATATTATTCGTATCCCACTATCCAGAAGTATTAAATCCTAAGTTTTTGATTCGTGAGAAACTTCAAAAAAAAGTTTACGTGACTCGAGTTTTCTCCTAAAAAGTTCCAATAAAAAAATAAATTGGAAGAACATGTTAAATTCACCATGTTTTGTGATGCAGCTAAATGTCAAGCTGGAATGGAAAAAGCACGCAAAGAATAAAAGAATAAAAATAGGTTTAAGATAAATTCAACTATACTTCGTCCGACGTGCTTCCATCCTTCCAATACAAAATAACTGTAATTTACGCAGTCTTAATGTAAAATTGGACAGTTGGTATTCTACTAATTTAAGCTATAAAAAATAATATAAAAAGTACGAAATACAATTCTAGGTAACATGGTACCATAGTACCTAAGGAAAATTTCATAGAGATCACAGAGGTCAGTGCGGAAGTTCAAAAAATTTCAACGAAAAACCAGTCTTGCCTTATACAAAAACACGGAAGTTACGAAACCCCTGCAAAACGGAAACATAGAAGATTGAAAAAAACAAACCCATTGGAACCTGTGAAGTAAAAAATTTTGTGATAAGATTTTAAGATTATCTTTCAAAAAGACTACAGTCTTCATTGCCCTAGCCATACTTTGAGACAGTATAAAACATATAATCTGTTAATATACAAATTAAAATTAATTTGTTTGTAATAATGAATTTTTTAATCACTGCTCATTAGAAGTTAATTTTGTTTTTATATTCACTAATTTTCGTGGTCTGCTTGACCAATTATGGGAAGTTATTATCCGAGTGGATCGAGGCCACGATAGCTCAAGTGGTAGAGCAGCGGCTAATTTAGCCGAAGGTCGTGGGTTCGAATCCCGCTCGTGACACTGACTATATTATCTAAACTAAAAACCTTAATTAATTTGTTTTTATAGTTCTAATTTAACGTGGAGGGATTTTCTTCATCTAATCGCATGGACGTCCGAGGTTGCTCCGCTTGCTGAAAACAACGCCTGGGTCCTGAACGGTTTCGATTTCTGGGTGAGTGTCGACTTCGGTTTTGGCCTTCTCAACGCCCACAACCTTGTTAGGAACGCAAAAAACTTCGTAACAGTCCCATCTAGCCGGACATGCGATGTACCATTGGTGTTATAGTAAGTATGGTAAAAAGATTATTAGTTATATGCAGTCAAAGACGAAAAAAACCGGACACTAGTATTTATTTGTATAATTTACATAATAACAAGGTATATTCGCTTCTGGGTCAAAACCCGCGCAGGTGTCCCGCTTGTAGAGAAAGGGTGCTCAGTGTGTCTCATCTTGTCGAGGAGTGCCGTGCCTTGGCCCCCTACAGGGAGCGAGTAGGCATGAACCCTGACATAAAAACGGTACTCGGGCGAGCAAGTCAAATGTTGGATCCCCTATTCCGCTTTCTAAGAGAAACGGGGGTGTTTCCTCACTTGTAAATAGTGTATAAAACGTGAATATCTGTGTAAATAAGTGTATCTGTGTTGTGTTTTATTATTGTGTTGTGTTTTATTATTGTGTCGTGTATTTATTTATAAGTAATTTATTTATTTATTTGTTTGTTGTAAGTGAGTGATCTTTTAGACTGTAGGGCCGATGGCGGAATATTGAGTACCCCATCGGCCACAACAGTGCAGTGAGAGGGGGCTGAAATGACTTTATTGTTGGAAGCCCCCGGGGAGAAAAAAAAAAAAAAAAAAAAAAAAAACAAGGTATAGATATTAATAGTTGACTAAAAAACGTCAACACAACATTAAGAACTTCTAGTTTGTTAGATGAGAGAGTGTCTTTTCACACACTTTCGAATAAAAATATTTTTTTTAAATTAGTTAAATTTCAACGTAAACAATAAATTTTAGAAAAAGTTAATATTTTTTATTTAAAATTATGGTTTTAATTTGAGATCTCCCCTGGGCACATGATTTCAACAACGACGGATGGAGTGTCCGTTACATAGCCCAAGTCCTGCCTGTGCCGCGCTTTTCCTTCCACGATGATCTACAACGGGTTTGGTTCAGAGGAAGACTTGATCGAAAAGAACATAGTTGTCTATAGATGATATTTTTATTACTTTTACTAGTAGTCAACTTCAAACTGTTCGTAATATAGGCTCTTGAACTCTAAAACTGCCATCAGAAGGATTTGTGAGAATAGCCTTGTCTCTAGTCGTCCAGCATCAGGTTCTCTATTGCTGGAAGGCCATAGGTCTTCTCATCAGAGATGAATGCCGGTTTGGTTTGTTGCAATCAGATGGCCCAGATACGTGGAAAAGAAGGGGAAAACATTTTGGTTCATGAGCCACGCGCGAGTCAGTCAAGGAGAGGAAGAGAGAGAGAGAGAGAGAGAGAGAGAGAGTGAGAGCGAGAGAGAAGTAGAAGAAGGAAGATATAGAAAGAGCGAAAGGGGAGAGACTGAGAAAGATTGAGAGCGGTGAGCACTAAAGAATATGTGTCATATTTTTATTGTACGATCATATAAATTAATAATTATTTCATTTTTATGTACTCAATTTTTATTATAAAAATATGAGTACTTTTATTATATTTTCCAACTTGTATTGGTAAAGTAATATAAAGTTTTTGACCGTCGTACCTGACGAATTTTAGGCGTGCAGCAAAATGGCTCTCTAAACTACTAAAGGCATAGCGTTTTCCAAATACAAAATTTAGACAGTGCAAAAAACGACAGGAAAATGAAAATCTTATCCACAAAGACGGAGCGATGGGGTTTCCGCATTTTTCAAATGTCGTGTAATCTATTTGATTCTAGGCGACAAATGAAATGGCTACGGAGAGCTTTAGTGAAGTGAACTTCATTTTAACCTATTAAATGAAAAATGGCAAAAAGAAGGGAAAATTCAAAAGGTGGGGTTGAGATGTTTGTGTCCGAGTGGATCGAGGTCACGATAGCTCAAGTGGTAGAGCAGCGGCGTATTTAGCCGAAGGTCTTGGGCTCTTATAAGCTCGTGACAGTAACTTTTTTATCTCAACTAAAACCCTTAATTAATTTAAAGATATTAATTGGTCAAGCAGACCACGAAAATTAGTGAAGTTAGTATATTGGTTTATTTTTTATAAATTTTAAGAAAAAGAGATTATACCATGTGTTATTTATTTACAGAAGATGAAAGGTGTTTTTTATTAATATTTATGTGATAGGATAGCGGTATTTGTACTGATTTGCGTAGTAAATCGTCAGCATGAAGACGAATATCTGTACCAGTGCATATATTATAATGATGTTCGAAAACTGTATTCGATTTTCTAGCTCAAAAATTATGTTGATGAAGATACATCCCATTATATTTAGAGCGTGTAGTACCGTAAAAGTCGCACCTCTCAGTTTCGGCGGTGACTCCAAAAAAAGGAATCTGAAGAACGATACGGACACAATTGCATTTGCGAGACTCATGAGAAATACATGTACCACGATCCTCAACTGGGATATCTTCTTGGGCCCTTCGAGCAGCAAGAATTTTCCATATGATGTTTCTCTCGGATTGCAGTACATGAGAAAAGCATAGAGACAGGAATCGTCGAGATTAGCGGTTTTTAACAATGTTCTATTCCCATTTTCTCGTTCACCGATAACGTTGTACAGCCCAGGAGGGATTTCATATTTGACTCCTCTTGCAAACTGGAATCTATAGCTGTTATTTTTACCTTCTACATTTTGGAAAAATAAATTGTACGGCAAATATTTAAACGGGCTGACGATTAAAAATGTAGAGACACCACTTTTTGAATCAGGTGAGAAAACTGTCGGATCATAAGTATCAGCGTTATAGCTTATTGTTTGAAAATCAATAATGTAAGAAATCGTTACACCCGGAACAAGATCTATGGCAAATTTTTTATCCATTCCTAGTTCGTCGTTAACAATGCGGATTTTTAACTTCGTTTTTTCTGTCAATCTCATGGAATACTTGAAAACATCTAAATATCCGACCCGTTGAACTCCTACTACGTTTAAATATATTGCGGTTGGCGATGATAAAAAGCTGTACATCCTTATCTGTGCGATATTCGGTTGTTGTACGTACCCGTGGGTCGATTCTACTTGCAATTGTACTCCGAAACAGTGAAAAAGGGCTATTATCAACACGGAGTACCCGATAAACAAGTACTGTAAGTCTTTTAGCTGCAATCTTTTCAAATGAGGGTATACGATGATTTCAAAAAAGGGGAGTAGTATTAGATCGAATACTACAGAAACTGTCACGAAATCGATCATCGGGTAATTGAAGGTTTGAGGCTTGAAAAGGAACTTGGTCTGATTAACGGAGAGTAAAATGATAAAATACATCAAATTGCCAATTGAAAATGCCGGGACGATGACTAACATGACCGGGAGCATTCTTCTCGTCTGATTGGCCACGTACATCGATACAACCGGCACAGCACTGTAAATCCAGTGGAGTTCGACGGTTTCTTCGTTAGCCGGATAGGACGGCACAATGTCTTCGTAGTTCAATGAAATGGGGACAAAAGCGAAAAGCCACTCAAAAAATTTCTGTGTTTTCCCCGGCTCCGTATCGATAGGTTGAGATGAAGAGAGGTTTTCGGCCAGGATCCCGCGAAAACCCCATCGCTCCGTCTTTTGTATAAGCTCTTCATTTTCCGGTCGTATTCCCATACTATCCAAATCTTTACTATTAGCGTGCAGTTTTAATGAGATATCTTGTGTCATGTATGCCCGTTTTTTATTTCTCAACTTCTCCTTTTTTCTATCATGTGACCTTTTCCTGATGATAGCGATTATAAAACATTTTAAAGTCAATTCCCAAATTCTGTAGTACGTCGCCTCTAAATGCAGCTTTCTTCCGATCAGTATTAAAGCGATAAGATAAAACATGCAAAAGCACACGACGACGGGACAGAGATTATTGAAGTCTTTATTATCCGTGTAATCGAAAACTATAATACAGCGACATATGAACTGTACGACCGTTCTTATCATCACCAGTACAAAGATGTAATTTCTGATGTTGTACAACTCGAAAGGCAGCCGAAACTGTTCGAGCAAAAGCACGTTTCTGACGCTCGATGTCGGGAGGTACATACCGACCAGCACGTTAGCGAAAAACATGTACGTGTAATTCGGCACTCCGTCCTCGAGGTGCCATTGAAAAATGGACCAGAACATAGCAGAACCCGTCAAACAGGCGACACCCACTAAGGAAATGTAGAACTTGCCGGTATAGGCGTCTGCCAGCCAAGCAATAACGATGGAGGAAATTGCACCGAAAGCGAGGAACGTATATCCAACAAACTTGAACTCGGTTGGATCCGCAAATTTCATCGTCAATTCATAGCCCGTCGAAGAATTCGTGAAGTCTTTTACCGTACCGAGAGAATAGCTGAACAAAACCTCCAGCATCAAGACCACGTGCCCTATGTTCCAAGACGTTATCATTTTCTCCAAACTGTTTTCTTGTCAGTATTCAAATAAATCGAACAATACGGTTTTTTTTACAATTATTAATTCAATTCAACACACTACCATTCCAAATTGGTCTTTAAACTATTTTACGCTGTGACTCAAAACCAAACACATTTTATACCAATCGGATCAAAATCTAACAAATTATTTCGTGCATCCAAGCATTTGGTGTTTTAAATAATTAACATATGGTCACAATTTAATCAGATCTTTTTTGTAATAAGGTGGTAAATTTTTTAAAACATATGTTGGTAATTTTTCATAATTTTAAAAATCTGATTCCGTGTAATTACAATATAAATCGTAGAAATTTAATTACATATGTCCATGAAAGATTAGCGTACAATAACAAGAACACCACATTTCCGTCCAATTGCATTTTTTGTTCACTAACTTTATATGCAATGTAAACGTGAAAGAAATTTGGCTCATAAAAATAACAAACTATTTGCACTTTCTAATTTTTCATATTATTATTTTATCAAGCGTAAATACATAATTTTAATGAGATTTTAGTGACTGAGAATATCGATATTTTCATTGAGTAAATTATATTTCGTTGATCATAATTGGCATGTAAGAAATAAGGATTTCGCTAGCAAATGATTATTTTTAAAAAATTGTTTAAATAAAGTTACCATTCTTTTATCCTAGGTAATCCTATTATTATATATACACTCAAAGACAAAAACCGGAAACTTCTATTTATTTCTCTATTCTTATAACAACTAGGTATAAAGATTAATAATCAAGATTTAAAACGATAACACAACAAATCTGACAGATTGGAATTTTGGCTATTGTTATATTGTATCACGTCATATTGTTAAACAGCGTCAAATTTCTACTGAAGAATGGGATTTTGTTTTACAAAACGAAATCCGATCACTTATTTCCTCAATGCCTAATAAATTTAAGACTAATATTGTAAATGGTTTTTATCCATATTCTCTAAAACGCCTGATTAAACAATTTGAAAAGAAATAGGCCACCCATGCACCTTCCTTTGTGACGACGGAGGCAGCCTAACCTTCTGATACGTTTTTTGAATGGTTAATGCCGTCGGATGAAGAAAAAAAAAATCTTATCCTTATTTACTCGATTCCTAAAAGACTTGACTACAAGGTCCACAATGTGGTTAAGGCTCAGGGCCCAAGAAAGGTGTACATCGAGTCCTCATTCACGTCCCTCTCTCAATCCCTGTGACCTCTACCAACCCTTGTCTACAAGGGTGAGGGGTGTCCGGGCACAAAATAATAATGTAGCCCTGAGGGCGTGGCAACCTCTCTAAAGCACAGCTGTACACGTGTCGACCCCGGGTCGGCATGGGCGGCGGGTGCCTTATCAGAGGCACATGAGGTTCCGACTTCAGGGATGGTTCAAGCCCAGGTGTGAGCGACATTCGGCCTTCGGGGAGTAGCAAGGAGATTGAACCGAAACTGTGAAAGCCTGAGGAACCGGTCGCCCACCACGAGCGCACTAATTGTGAAGAGTGGGTGCTTGCTATTGAGGATCTCAATCCGACCTGCGGGATTTATTTTCCGCAGACTCGGATTCATCCCCCCGAGACGACTGGCTGGGATAGGGCCAACTAGTTCGGCTCTTGAACGGCCATCTTGTCTCACCCACCCTGGGAGTCGTGGCCCATTTTATGTGGAACTACGGCGACAATGTGTAGTGTGGTTTGAGACTCGAGAACCCGAAACGCTCACCTCGTGTTCTCATCCACGGCCCTTTTTCTCAATCCGAGCTCCTTCATTCTATCCTGTGACCCCTCCTAATCCTTGGTTACAAGGGGGGTGTCCGGGCACAAAATAATGGTGTAGCCCTGAGGGCGTGGCAACCTCTCTAAAGCACAGCTGTACTCGTGTCGACCTCGGGTCGGCATGGGCGGCGGGTGCCTTAGCAGAGTCACACGAGGGCCAGTGCACTAGATCCTGTCTGCAAAGACGGGGGAGGGTGTATGGCCATCTGTTTCACGGGGTAACTAAACCTTCCAAATTCAGCCCTAGTTAGGGAATGGATTCGTTGTGGTGCTTGGTGACGCCCCTGGCGGGAACTTAGACAGTTGCTGTCTTCTATCTCAGTGAAGCTTGCGTATGGCCAACGTAAAACCCCCCGGCCTCACGGGAGACGTTGCGACCGGACGGCAGCATGTAAGCGTTGAGGACGCAATGATCACGCTGTAGTCCCTCGAATGCGTAAGTAAGCAGATGGAAGCGAGTAGTGAAGCGGTGTCTGACTCGAGTATGCTTTGCATTGTTGCGCGTATGACCGGCGTGGTACCCTTGGGGAAGCGAAGGATCGGACCACCTAGGCTTAGCCTATGGCGTCCCTCGAATGCGCGTGACAGGTGTAGGCTGAGCTCGATAAGAGACTTTACCGTAGGCGAGGCTCATCTTGCGTGTGGTTAGCAATTCCACTTTTAACAAAACCGCTGCCGGGGCGTTCCCGGAAATTTCTACGCTGGAGGAGCCTTTATACTCAGAGAGATAGAGTGACCTTGTCTATCTAGGGAGTACTTGAGGTGGGGACAGGCCGTTGTATTTCGGCCTGTTAGCCCCTCGCGTACGGCATACGACACATAATGCGGGCCCGACCATTCGGAGGGGATAAGCGGAAAGCGAGGTTGTCTCGGCCCTTAGGGGCTGGGTCCCCTCTACACCAATGCTGCGGCGGTAACATCATTCCGTCGTATGCAGAAGTGCGTCAGCTCTCATCCTGAGAATCAAAACGTCCGATAAGGCCAAAGGCCAGATGTGGACGCTAAAGATCCTCTTGTCTTGTTGACGATCAGTACTCGGGAACACAATGTACTACGGGGTAGAAATAATGTTCCAAGGTTCAGCCCCTGTTACGATGGGATAGACTCGTAGTTGGCCGTTGTGAGATCCCTGGCGGGTACTTAGAGAAGAGGCTGTCTTCTATCTGTGACCTTCGCACGAAACTTGCACATGACCATCGTTATACACTCGGCCTCACGGGATATGTCGGATCGGACGGCAGGCCGCAGGGTATAAGCTTTGAGGACTTTATGATTATGCTGAAAAGTGCCTCGAATGCATGAGTAGTGGCGGATGGGAAGGGGTAGTGAATCGGTTGCTCCTATTCGAGGGTGCTTTGCAGGTATAGGCTGAGCTCGATTGGAGGCTTACCATAGGCGGTGCTCCTCTAGAGGTTGGTTAGCAATTCCACTTTAAACAAAACCCCGACGGGAGCGGATCCGGGAGATTTTACGCTAGGGAAGCCTCACTACTCTGGGAGATAGAGTGGCCTTGTCTGTCTAGGGAGTGCCCAGGAGACCGGGCTAATGTATTTCGGCTTAGGTAGCTCTTTAGGCGCGGCATACTGTAGGTGCTTAATGCGGACCCGACCACTCGGAATTGGCAAGCGGGGAGCGAGGTTGTCTTGGCCCCTCGGGGCTGAGCTGCCTCTACACGCAGTAACACCCTTCTGTCCTATTCGGAGGTGCGTCAGGTCTCATCTTGAGAATCATAAAATCCGATAAGCCCGAATAGACTAGGTGCGGACGGTAAAGATCCTCATTGTCCTTTTTAGGACGACCGAGTATAGGCGAAAACAATTCCTAAAAGACTCTAGGCTTTCCGAGATTCCCGAAGAGAAAATATGCTTTATTAAGAGCAAAACTAGATCACGAATTGGTAGTTAACTTTTAATCTACCACTAAACGATTTCCCTGTGTTTTGGAGAATTTTGTTTCAAACCATCGAAAGTAATTCATTTTTATTGAAAATCATGAATGTCTGAAAATAATTATGTATAATGAATATAACAATACAAGTAATTAAAGTTTCAAATAAACAAAAAATCCGTGGGTCCGTTTTTTCTTTTTCCTTTTTCTTTGAGCTTTGAGTGTAATTGACCTCTTTTTTGCAACAGTGGCAATAGAACTATTCATAAAGGCAGCAAGAATGTTGAAGTGGTTACGGATGGTTGTCGGGGTGAGACCATGGAAATAAACTACTTGGAGCACGTCCAACTCCTTGCTTCCATTAGCTACCCAAAAAGAGGGTCCATCAGCGTCTATCTTGAATCTCCATCAGGTACATAAATTTAGTAATCTCTTCTAAACTTATGATTTAAATATATTTTAATTGCATCTTTATTTTTTAGGAACACCAAGCATCCTTATGGAGGAAAGACCCAGAGATTACGCTACATCCGGTCTGAAAGATTGGACTATGACTAGCGTACACTTTTGGGGAGAAAGCCCAGCCGGGATCTGGACAATCTCTATAAAAATCAATGTATGTGAAAGTACATGTAATAAACATAGTAACGAACCATTAAAATTAATAGAATTACGATACATTATGAAAATAACTAAATGTGTAAAAATTAGCTGTAGCGCATCTTGGTTCAACAAAAAGTAAATTTTTCAAAAGCATTTAGTATTTTTAAAGGGATAATGATTTCGTAGGACATTACCGGCCATTTGATAAAGATTTTCAATGCTAGGAAGGGAATTTATCTAGCTTCCACTCGGAAGGGAATGGGATGGTCCCACAATAATTTACCTTCGGGGTCGGCTATTTGGAGATCAACTTGCATCATAAATCTTACCGATTATTTGGGCTTACCTGTTTGAATCATTTTGATAAATGAATGTTATAAAAAAATTGTACGTTTAAGTGTTTTTATCTATTTAGTTGAAATTTTCTAGAGAGGGTATCATGAATCTCCTGAATCATGAATCATGAATCTACTTATCATGAAGGGTATCACAATTATACAAATCGGATAATAAAAACCCCGTTAAAGATGTGATTACAATGACGTTAGATGTATGTACACATAAAAAATAAAGAAACAACAAATCTTATGGAAAGAAAATGTTTAAATAATTTCGAAAAAATAGCAATTTTATTCGAAGGTGACATCGCTCATTTCTTGTTTTTATACTAGTTGTACAGAACTTATTTAACGTTTCTTGGTTCTATACAAGGATAGAACTTGACATTTCAGCTGTTCAAGTCATGGGAGACCCTCCCAAGCAGTTTAACTTTCCCGATTAATTTTAAGTTCCTAGAAACTTTCTACGACTGTTAAAATGTTTCTGAAGTTCTCTGACGGTTTGAAAGGGTTTTCTTTCTCGGCTATTTTAAGTTCGAAATTGACTGACATTGAATGTGTTGAGTGTGGATGGAAGTCTCGTAGGTTGGATCTCACGAACGAAATTTTCCAAATAAAGCCGAGCCGTCAATATTAAAATGAATCAAAATCAAAACAGTGACAGATAGTATTTTAAGGCGCAATGCCGAAACGCGTTTGATTAACTCTAATAATAAAACCCCGCAACTGGACACAGACTCAGTAAGTAACCCTCTGCCGGTTCAACATGGACTGTTTATTAATTGGTATCAGAAACCAACAGTAAAAATAGGTCTGTATATTTATCCTCATCTGATTCTTGAAAATTAATGTTACATGTATTGACAGGATCTTAAAACTTTTTTTTTTTTTTTGGCCTTATGATCTATGCATATTAACCATGGTGACGAATTCTTGTATGTGTGTTCTTGTATATTTGGGGAAGGGGGGTATCGTGAAAAAAGGGCCAGGGGCGACGGTGGGAATCGAACCCTCGACGGCGGCGTCTATGAGCCGAGAGTCTCTCACGCTAACCACTCGGCTACCGCCGTCCCCGACCTTAAAACTTACCCATTCCATATTTGAGGATTAAAATAAACAAAAAGTTATCAACCTACTGATACTGAACAGATACCCCGAGACAATAATTAAACAATTATTACAGCATAGAAGTAGTAGCTAAAAAAAGATCGACAATAATAAAAACATAGACGACACGTATAGAGATTATACGAAAACCTTCGAATAAAATAAAAAAGGAAAATACTAGAAGAATGATTTAAATGATCAAATATAACAATAAAATTGGGAAACAAATTTTTACATCCATAAACAGTATAGATTAACCCACAATTCAAATGCATTATGAACAGAGAAATGCTTGGATTGTCCGTTTGTCTATTATGGGACACAAAGCATTATTTGTCTGAACAGGTTAGACAACAATATACACAATTAATTAGGGTTTTTAGTTGAGATAAAAAAGTCAGTGTCACGAGCGGGATTCGAACTCACGATCTTCGGCTAGATACGCCGCTGCTCTACCACTTGAGCTATCGTGACTTCGATCCACTCGGGCACTAACTTCCCATCTCAACCCCACTTTTGAATTCTCCCTCCTTTTTGCCATTTTTCAAATGTCTGTAATCTATTTGATTCTCGGCGACAAATTAAATGGCCACGGAGGGCTTTAGTGAAGTATACTTCATTTTAACTTATTAAATTCACTAGTTATCGTGGCCCGCTTGACCAATTAATATCTTACAATTAACTGAGATTTTTATATTTGTTTTATTCATCGTGCCTCAAAAGGTGGTGCATCATTGAGTAGTACCGGATGGGGTGGTACGAGTTGTGCGCATAAAAACGCTCTCAGGAGAATATACGCGTCCGGTTACACGTCTATCTCTTTTGCTCCCTGAACCGTGAATCTTTCCAATCCTGTTCTTCCTCTCTGCAACGTCTCTTTTCTCTTAGTGAAATTTCTATTGCCATTTGGTGGGCGGTATGTTTACGCCGGAGAGAATTTTATTCATTTTTTTATTTTGTTTATTTGTTCAAAGATCCATGGAGACGAAAAACAAAAAAAGGTCTCGGGGTCCAGCTGGTCAGTTAGCATTGGAAAGTGGACGAACGTGTTTGTTTAATTCTTTTTTTTTATCTCGATTTGTAATCGAAATTACAATTTACGAGTACCTCGCAGGATTACGAAGTTATTTTCTCTTCGCCCGCTCATCGCTGTGGAATCCCGTCGCCTGCAATTCGTCGCCGCACATCATTTTGCTGTTCACAGGTCAGATCTTTCCTTTCGGCTGCTCACGTCTTCTAATAAGACTTTAATTTGAAGTGTTTGTTCTCATAATTGTTAAGTACTGTGAAAAACATTTAAAACAAAGTTTTTTATATAGTTTGATTAATTTTCAGTAATTGGTCAAGCGGACCACGAAAATTAGTGAACTTCACCGTTACCTTAACATCCCATATGTTTCTCCCCATCAAATCGAGATCCAGAAAATTGTACTCCTCACTCACTGGTCGTCTCATCTCTCAGTAATCCAACTTTCCTTAGCTAGATTTTCCTGTAGACCACTGAAACGCCTATGGCTACTGGCTCTCATCTTAATGGATTGCGTCTGATTGCGTTAGGTTTACTCATGTCGTATGTCATTACTGAATGACTTCACTCCTCAAGGCAATACAATTCAATTATATTTCTATATTCCCATTGTATTTGCTTGTTGTAGTTGTAAATTTTAAATAAATCAAAAAAAGAACCTTCACCAAAATCAATATTTTAAGACTTACAGAAATTTGCTTGGTATCTAATTTTCCTTGTCTGTCCATAACCGAATTTCATAATTAGAGTAGCTAGAGTTGAATAATAATCATCTCACAGCATCGCTGGCAACGGCTTTAATATTTCAGCAAAATTGAAACGATTTAACTAATGGTCTTGCTTGAGTGTTATACTTCAGATTTATTTCATTCTATAAAATTATTCTATATAATTATTACATTAAAATCTTAATTAAATTTTACAATACATGTTTACCTTACTAAGCACATAAGACTTGTGTACAGTATGTAACTTTAATAACGATTTTTAATTAAATTTTAACGTGTGTATTTAAAAAGAATTATGTATCCACTAAGGTTAACATTGAACTCAGCACTACCCCTGCTATTATGAGGGTCTTTTGGAGGTAAAGGTTTCGTTGCGTGGTTACAAAGTCACATACGTAATATTTTAAATAAAGTTTCAATTGGATATCAAATATTTTTCCCTAAGGCGAAAACTACGCGCATGAATTCAGTATGAAAAACATATATTAATAATAAGTTTTTACCCTAGTGCATATGAATCTAAAGTTTGCCGCTAGATTTAACATTAGACTCAAGCTTTTCTCGGGTCGAAGCTGTCAGAGAGAAGATGTAAGGTCACTAAGGGACATCCTCCTCCTATCCAACGGCAAGAGGAAAATGAATTCACTCAGGAAGTTGTTTCGCTCTGAACCACGGAGACCGTTGTCGTCTAGGGCGTGTGAATGAGACGGAGCGAGAGATCATTTATTCATCCACTCTTGGATGGAGGTTGCCCGGAATCAATAGTTCTCTTCATTGTTGCTGATGGCCAGAGCGGAAACCTCGAGATTAAAACGACTGTTTTGGGAAATGACACGTGGTCGCCATAATTGAGTTGGAAATATGATTTGTCTCATTCTTTAGAATTAACTAAAATTAGTTGTATCTGTTGAATGGAGTTTCTGCGAACCTCATTAAAAATGTTATTAGATACGAGAATTAATGAAACGAAGAAGCTAAGGGTTTGTAAAACCAGCTGAGCTCCTCTTTTAACTAATTGGTCTTTCCAGTGCAAACGTTAAGCCCCTCATTTGCGGCATCCATTGAAAATTTTCAAGTTTTCTTATTATATGTATAAATTTTTTGTGAAAATCTAAGTAGACGTTTCAAAACCTACAGAATGGATGTATCAGTTTGACACATGGTCAACAATCAGCAGACTAATCAGCCAAAATACAAGTGCAAAACAGTCAGTATAAAGTCGAAGTCACGATAGCTCAAGTGGTAGATCAGCGGCGTATTTAGGTCGTGGGTTCGAATCCCGCTGGTGACACTGACGTTTTTATCTCAACCAATACCTTTCATAAATATTAATTAATTCATAAATATTAATTTTCCGTTTTGCTTTTATGCCCAATGTTATGAACACTTAATGATAAGCAATTGTTTGAAATCAATGAATGGCTCAGTGAGATTAATTCATCTCGTTTTAAAATAGCTGCCAATATTTAATTTTTTTTATTTTTTTGATTGCCCACCTAAATTTTATTGTAAAGTGTACAAATGAATAGAAACGACTAATCAAAACTATATATAACGAAGTCACGATAGCTCCAGTTTCGGGGGAGGGTTCGAATCCCATTCGTGACACGGACTTTTTTATCACAAGCAATACCTTCCATAAATATTAATTAATTGAAAAATGTTAATTGGTCAACCGGACCACGAACTGCAATGGATTTAATAACTAAACTGAAGTATATCTTCACGAAAGCTCTCGGTGGCCATTTCATTGGTCGCCGATAACAAACAGATTAAACGACATTTGAAAAATGGCAAAAAGGGAGGAAAATTCGAGTGGTGAGGTTGAGATGGGAAGTTAGTGTCCGAGTGGATCGAAATCACGATAGCTCAAGTTGTATAGTAGCAGTATTACTAATTACTAATAGTAGTAATATTAATTAATTGAATATTGTTAATTGGTCAATCGGATCACGAACTGTAATGGATTTAATCAGTATAAAGGTTAGTAAATTGAAATAAGAACAGATACAAATATAACATTTTTTCGACTGAGGACGTAATGTATTCATATTATAAATTACTTAATACTAATACATAATCTATTAAGAACACATGCTATACTTATGAACAAGAAGAAAGAAAGAAAACACAAAAATTATGAACAACAAGAAAGAAGGAAATAAAACACAAAAAAGTAGTGGATAAACTCTATAGGTAATATGTGGTGTTTGGTGACCGTTAGTCAATGATTATTCAAATATCCTGAGATGCGGTTTGGTGTGACATAGTTTAAAAGGACAATTAGATCAACCTTTTGGTGGGTTATTAGTTACATCACTTTAACTGTAGCATGAAAGCACTTTTATTTTACCACTAATGGTTTATCACTTAAAAAACATTGGGAATGTTTTTATGGTATACAAGAAAGGTTAATATCTCTGAACAAACATGTAAAGTATCATGTAGTATGAAGTTCAAAACGTGTAAGCAGTTTGTTTTCTTTTTGTTTTTTTGATAAATTTGTACACTAAGCTCTGTTATCACAACTATTGAATAAAGGGGCATTAATTTGTTTTTCAGCCAGAAGGTGTGGGAAACGATTTCCAGAAAATGGCTGGATCCATCAATTCGCTTCGGCTCATGTTTCACGGCACCAAAGAAATGCCTCACCATTATCGCAATAGGCCGAGAAACTACGCACCTTTCATGCTTTACCCAAAAGGGCCCGTCTTCTGGTCAAATTAAAACTCGTAAATCTGCCGACGTTGATTTTATAGTTTTTACACAAAATAAACTCTTCATTATTTTTCAGCTAATTTGTGTTATATAAAACTGTAATAAAATTTTGTTTGTTAACTTAATTATTATTAACAATATGTCTATTAAAGTAGTTAATAGAACTAAAACATAGGAGAGGTTGTTATTCAGACATTTCATTAAGAAAGACAGCATTGTACTCATTTGTTTGAGAAAGAATTTCATTAAACTGTACTCCTCGCCTATTCATGAAATGTCCGTTGAAATATATTTCTATGTAAGTAAGAAAAAATACCAATTTAATCTGATTTGTTTGCTAATGAAAGCTATATTATGATTTAATCTTCCACGATTTATTAGTGATGTGGATTGCTTTGCTGTTAAACCTATTTCATTTTCCCGGGAAAATTGTGGAAAATATACTAATATTTTGAAGAGTAATAGAAAGGGAACGCGAAGGTAAAATTATTGTCAGCGTTGTAGGAAAAAATCCCAAGGGTAAGTAATAAATTTAGAAAATTGCGTGAAGAACACTGATGTTCGGAATTGGACCAAACCTGATCTGGAAGTTTATACACAGGGACTAAATATAGAGAGCGGACGAGTATCGAACGGTGGGGATGACCTCTGCCCTCACCTACATCCATGTGGTTCACTCTACAACTGACTATTAATATTTACCGCCGTCGATATTTTATGGTCGTCCAAGGAGGCCATCATAACAACAAACACCGATTTATCTTTATTACCATCGTACATGAGTTATGCATGTCGCAATTTCATGGAATGCCAAGCCAGAAGGCAAAGTCAGCACATATATGACGAGAAGTGATGAAAACGTGGTCGAAGACTTTTCATTTTTTTATCCTCTCCATCAATAACTAAGCATGATTTGAATTAATAGTTTGTATTAGTCCATTTCAGAACTTTCCGTGAAAGATGATTTTTTATCAAATACTATAAATTGGTACTTACCGCAAAGAAATACTGTCCAAAGTCGTCTGTTCATATTAAAAATACATAGAACCTTAAGATTTTTCCATAAAACATGTTAAATACCATTAGTTCAATTATAAAGTGCAATGAGTTTTCCAATTTCTGACATACTGTAATTTTTGTATTAAAGTAGTAAAGGATTGTGTTGGAATTATATACACACGCACACAAACATTTCTTTTGGCTTTGTCGAGTAGTCATGCGTCACAGCAATACACAGACATTTATACATACTTTGCTGCTATAACTTTGAACGCCAAATTCTTCAGGAGGCTGGTATAATTTAAGTACAGACCAATCATTGTATAAAAGTTTTCTTTTTCATTCATTCTTTGCAACTTTCGAATAAATTTGTAAAATCCCTATGACATTTATGGTAAAAACGTAGTTAATGAAAAATAATTAGGTAAATTTATTTTATAACGCAAATGACCTAGAAGGTTGTTTATTAAAATTTAAATAGAGAGCTAAACATATACTGACGGCCAGCATGCGTATACTGCAGTTTCTTAACTTGATTTGTCTTAAATATTAATCTTTCAATTAATTAAGGTTATTAGTTGAGATAAAAAAGTCAATGTCACGAGCGGGATTCGAACCCACGATCTTCGGCTAGATACGCCGCTGCTCTACCACTTGAGCTATCGTGACCTCGATCCACTCGGATGAGCTACCTCAACTAAAAACCATAGTTAATTGAAAGATAATAATTGGTAGTAATCGGATAAGCGATCAACACACATGGAAGCAGATATAGTTTTCTGTAATAAATTGGAAAAAAAAATTTTTTAAGTATTGCCAGGACACTTCTAGCACCATCTAGTGGAACTTGAGCTCTGCCAGAAAAAGAGAACCTCTGGGTTATTTGTGTGATTCCCTCCAGCCAGCAGTAAATTCAATTTTTAAATAAAAGGTATGTGAGACTATTCCTCAGTAGTTTGTTCCCCCATGTTTTATAAATGTTTTCATAATCCTAAATAAATAAACATTATCATTATTACATTTTATTGGGTTTCGTGTTCCGCTAGACCAAATAAATCCTTTTCTATTAATTAAGGTTTTGGTCGAGATAAAAAGTCAGTGTCTCAAGCGGGATTCGAACCCACAACCTTTGGCTAAATACGCCGCTGCTCTACCACTTGAGCTATCGTGATCTCGATCCACTCGGACACTAAAAACTTCCCATCTCAACCCCACCTTTTGAATTTTCCCTCCTTTTTGCCATTTTTCAATTCGATTCAATTCGAATCCCGCTTGTGACACTGACTTTTTGATCTCAACCAAAACCTTAATTAATTGAAAATTATCCTTATTTTTTATTTGTTAATAAACCTAATCCTCGTACATTCAATACTCATTCTGCTTTTTTCAGTCCAATCAGAAGCCGTTTATAATTTCATGAATTAAAAAAAAATATATTAATTTAAGGTAGTTTATCGATAACCAAATTTATCATACCCAACCTATTATTACATACATTACTAATAGTGTGTGTGATGATTAGTGACCGTTAATCGATATTTATTTAGAAATCGTGAGATGCGGTCTGGTGTGATGTAGGTTTCAGAAAAACATTTTTTTTATCGGGCCAACGTTTCGATCTTTATTGAGATCATCTTCAGGGCCTGAGATTTACAAATTGTTTACATATTACAATTACATTTTGGATGTGTAAAAGTGAATTTATACAATGCAAAATATATTTTATATACTCATTCAAAGTAAATCCCAGGCCCTGAAGATGATCTCAATAAAGATCGAAACGTTGGCAAGATAAAGAAAATGTTTTTCTGAAACCTACATCACACCAGACCGCATCTCACGATTTCTAAATAAAAATTACTAATAGTAAACTATTTTAGACCCATGTTTCACACACGACAAAACATGTCAACTTGTCTTCCTATCAAATATGACAAAATTCGACAGTGTCGTCAAAATTTCTTCAAATCTGATGTTTACTGGTAACGTAACCACGGAAAAAAATATATATTTGAAACTGACGTTTAGATTTTTACGCAATTTACTCATGATCGAATCTGAGACGTGGAATTTTTCAACAAACAGTTTATTCTTTTTTATTGGCCAATTGATTTTCTATTATTCTAAGTTACATATACATATTTTGACACTTTGTATAGCTATGTTTAAATAAATTATAAATCATAATAAATGTTTGTTTGACCGTGTTATCTCTATTGAATGGATGCACTAACAAATATTAGCGATGGTGTAGTATTTTTCATGAAAAAAATTGAGTTTAGCCACTTTGCATGTACTACGGTTGAGAACATTTTACTCCTTTTACCAATTGTTTGCGAGAATATGTACTAACTTCCTCCATTATAAACACTCGGAAACATATTTGTACATCCTAGACAATATTGGTCCAGTTTTTGATATTTAAAGTTTTGTCTACCTCTTATTCCAAACACTTTAAAAAATTGAAAAAGTGACAAAACAAATAGTTATTTCTTACTAGAAAATACCATTTTTGGAGGGTTGATATGAATTATGTCAATCCACTGCTTCACGGCGACGTAAGTAGATCTTTTCTGGAACTCTTACAATTAGAGGTATATCTTGGAAATCACGCTTTTTATTAAAAGGCTAAGCACTTTCCTTCGTGCCTCTTTGCGGACATCCTTTGATGTGAGAAATGTCCTACCGATGTTGCTCTACCCTACTAGGGCTTCAGATTTACAAAGGCTGCTGAGGCTTACATTGCCGATGTCCTTATTTTTCAGATGATACCTAAGAAAGATATCGATTTTTTTTCTCAAATTCTGCCTACTGAGGGAGAAGAGTTTCTTCGCCTTCCGTTTTGCGCTTTATGAATCGCGTAGGTTGCGTCAGACCTAGTGGGTTTGTTCAATGCTTGATTTTTCATTCTCAATCATTTTTCCAGTTTTAATCTCAGCAGACACTCCGGAGCAATTAGCTGTAGTTCTTGTCCCATGGGTGAGAGTGCTGTCTCTTTTTTGGCTAGGTAGTCAGGCTGTTCATTTCTTTCTCAACCTTCTAGTCCGGAAACCAAAGTAATCTTGTTCATCCTAAAGTCATTACGCAATTTAGGCATCCCCAGACAAGTTTGGAGTTGAAAGCATACGTATTTAGTGCGTTTATGTACCATGCCCTTTCTTGAAATCTGGGCCCCCACTTCTACCAAAGGTCTCTATTACCTAAGTCCACTTGGAAGGGTCTGTAAAAGTTGAGTTTTCTCTCATTTTGTCACGTACCATTAAAGCAATCTCTTTTATAGCAGCAAGTGTTTATATTGAGCTTCCTTCTTTTTGTGAAAGGTATGAGATATGTTTTATAGGGTTTATATTTAAACTCACACCATCTTCTTATAAATTTAGGGCGTTTACCAATTCTTCCAATACTGCGTGGTTAATATTTTGACAATGTGTTGTAAACAGTGCATATCTTATCTTTTCGTTTAATTTAAGCTTTTAACCATTATTCAATATTGAAGGTATTAAATGATGAGTATACTTGAAACCCAAATTATAAATAAAACATATTCATATGACGATGAAGGATCTCGAAATAGAAAAAATATAATATAATATTTAACCCTCTAAAAAAATTTCATTTAAACATTTAGCCAATTTAATCAGAATATCGGTCATAATATTGACAATAAGGAATATAATTCCATAAAAAAATCTCTGATATAATTTTGGGTCGCCTGGATAAATCATCCTTCAATGTCCAACCTGAGGCAATTCTCAATCAAAAGCTATCAGATACTAACGTATCAATCAAATAAAATGGAAACTGGACGCAATAACTTAGACCAAAATATATTTTTATAAAATTGTGTTTTTGGTTGTCTCCTATCGAATAATGTAACCAATAATATAAATTAGAAAATCTAGTCTTGCATTCTTACTGAAATGTTTCGTATAAATTTTCTCGTAATTGGCAACTCGCACATAGATGGAAATTGGCAGAAAACTACTGATGAAAAAAAAAATAGAGGAAAAAGAATTTAGTGAACATGCTATGATAAAAAATCGAACATGG